GTACAACAATTTTTTGAACGGATTGTGGCATAAAATATATATTGTCGTATACCAAACAAGACACTGCACGAATTTTCTTACACGCATGAGCAAGATGAGTGTTTCAGGTTAGGTTACGGTCAAAGAATAGGCCAAGATATTTTATAGAAGATGTAGGCTGTATAGGCTGACATGCACAGGATAGACATTTAGAGGTATGTAAACGTAAAGAGGAGGTCATATTAATTTTTTTCAATGGGAGGCACGGACCAGGGCGTGCACCAGACACATAAAGGTGGCTTTACATGCTCTCTTGACAAACCAAAAGCCGAAAAGAATCCCTTAGCGGAGGTAGCGAGAAACAGTTTTAATCATAAGTATATGATTTTAATAGGCGCGGAAGAGTTAAACGTAGTAACCCTTTATGGGTGAAAATAGGGTGCACGTGATGCTTCGATTATGATCGTGCAGAAGGATGTAAGAATCGAATGTACCGCTCAAATTCTGTTCTTTTTTTTTTTTTTTTGGACAGACTGTGACTGTTTGGACGGCAGATTCCCGGCCCTCGGTGCCTGGTGTACGAATTAAGTCGATCGTTCCGCTAGTCGCGCTCTTCCACAATGATTTTGGGTGACCGTGATTGAAAGATCACGTGCACCCCATTTTCAGTCACCGAGAGTTACTCCGACGCGCTTATTAATTTCGTTTCTCGCGACCACCGCCAGAGTATTATTTCCGGCTTCTGGTTGGCCACATTCGAATTTGTGAAAATGCCCTGGGACACGCCCAGCACGCTTTCGGCCAATTGCACTTTTTGATTTGTCTCCTATGAGGAGCGCAAGTTCGTCTGCTTCGTGCACAGGGGTTGCGTAGGTGTCAAAACGCCGAGCTGTTATTGGCTCATTGAAAAAAATAGTGGGTAGACCTCAAGTCATCTAGCATTGAGATAGACTCAGTATTCTTTCAATCAAAGCCAATTAGAGCTCGGCGTGGTTAAGACGTCACCGCAACGCCTGCGCAAGAAGTAGACGACTTGCTGTCCGCCTACTTTCCAATGAATGGTCAAACCTCTACATGTGCGGATCTGTAAGTTGCTAATGAATCATGCCAGGCGGTTCTTATGCAGTCGTTGGCTGTATAACATCTATCTGCTTCAACAAGCACGTTTTGGAGTCCTGGCTATACAACTCTCTGTTCTTTCCCCGCTGTCACGCTGTCTAAAGCCGCGGTACACTGCCAATACATCTTACAAAAGACAGTCAGTCTGCAGGCACTGTCTGATGCGTGTTTCTGCCATGTACAGGGTGTCACAAAAAAATGTACACGGTATTTTTTTACCGCAGAAATAAACTAGGCATTTCCGAACGCTCATTCTCCGCCCAAAGGTAGCGTTGGAGGTCACAACCAGATGCCAAAGTTTCAGCCCGATCCGATAACTTAAATCAAAAGTTATAAGTGATTTTCTGAAAATTTCAATGGGAAAATGGCGGCCGACGTAGTTTTCGAATACATGGATCTGTATAGCACCAGAAACCGAAAACGGGCAAAAATGGGCTCCATTTTCCCAGTGAACTTTTCAGAGAATCACCCATAACAATTATGATTAAGTTATCGGATCGGGCTGAAACTTTGGCATCTGGTTGTGACCTCTAGCGATACCTTTGGGCGGAGAATGAGAGTTCGGCGATGCGTAGTTTATTTTTGCGGTGAAAAAAACCCTGTAAATTGTTTTTTGTGACACCCTGTATTCGGACGGTCCCGTTACATTGCTCATACAAAAACTCTCTCCAGACAGGTTCGAAACACGTATGTACGATGCAACCATGCTTCAAACATTCTTGACGCGTGTCCGCATATATTTCTTTCATCATGACCCCAGAGAAACTCCGTGTCTTTTGTTTGGTGTATTGAGCGCCTTGACTGCGGCTTTAGGGGTGTGTACCTCTGGTCATTAGAAGGATCCGTCGTTAAATTAGCATATTGATTGTCTGTCAAGAGTAATCATCCGGATGGTATACTCAATGAACGCGATGGAATATGTGCCTTCTGCCTGCGCGAATTCAACCGGTCTGACCGCGACTGGAGCTATACTTAATAAGCTACGTTTAGAGTATCGCCGCTTCATTCCTCGAGCATATTTTGCGCGCGTGCTGAGTGTCCACCAGCGGGCGCAATCGGCGATTTGAAAATGCGGCTTCCTCGGTTTTACATAATCGGTGTCAGTAATCTCGGGCGACATTGTTCCATTCTGTCGCGGACTGTCCTTACGTTTCCGGAGGACAGAGAAGCAATTTCTACGCTTTCAGATAAAGCTCGAGACAACTGGAAACAATTATATTTGGCACCAACATGGCTTAAGTGTCCTTACTTCGAAGCGTAGCTTGTTTAGTGCCTTATGTAATATTTAGGGCACGCTATTTCTGCTGAGCTACGGGCTGAAGGCGAATATCCATAACGCGTCCACGGCGTCTAACGCTAAAGGCACTAAACGAGCTACACGTAGAGTATGGGGACTCTGTTCCATGATATTGTTTTGGGCGCCGCCATCTTGGTGCTTGTGCAGAGCAGACATAACTATCGATCGCCATGATTCAAAAGTGCGACTTCCTCAAAATTAGATTCGATGTTAGGAAGCTCCTGTAATATTGCTTTCCACTGTAACGAAGTGTTTAAACACAATACGGAAAAGCGTTTCCTGTCATAGGACGGAAAAGCGTTTCCTGTCACTTTAAATAAATGGCAACCATGATTTTAAGCCACAAGATGGGTAAGCGTCGTTACTCTGAAGCGTAGCTTGTTTAATGGCACTATCTAAGGCAAATCCATTGTTCTTGGCTGACAATAAGATGCATCTCGTTGTGAGCTTGAGCTGTTAACAAACGCGCTTAAATCTGTCGCCAAGCGAGTCACAGATTTGTAAAAATTTCTAGTTTACGCGTGCAAAAAAGAAACTTACAAACTGTTAAAAGCAGCGCCCTAGGTTGTGCTGCAGCACTGTCGAATTTTACTGAAACGCTGAATTCCTCTGCGTGTGGCAAAGTTTCCACGCCAGTTAATTATAAGAGCTTCGTGTTCGGTTGGTTTATCAGCAATAAATCTTACATCTCAGTTATTAAAAAAAAAAAAAAGAGTTGGTCAGAAAACGAATGTTAACGTTTTAATTCGCGTCATTTTCTCCTGTATTTCCAGTGCTTTGACATAGATCCATGGAGACGGAACCCTTTATTGGAGTGCTATGAAACGACTTCAAAGAAATACACCAATAAAATGTTATGAAAATATTTGCAAAACAGAAGTCTAATCTCCTGACTTTTCTTAAAATTCCGCGGTACAATAGCAAAAAAAAAAAAAAGATGTATCCCTGGTGCTCGTAGCAGTGATTTGAGTGAAAAACAGACCATACACTCCCATAACCTCAAATTAATCCATTGCACTGGGAGTCCGTTGTCATATGTATGGTTCCTGGAACACATCTTCAACTGGTCTGCTTACTACGTCACAAAAAGTGGTCCCTCATAATGGTCCCTTTGCAGGGTCCCTCGGAAATCTTCAGTGAGAATATGGAAACCAATAAAGCCGACGAATGCATGGGACTGACTGCCGCAAATTACCGGCAGCGGGCCCAATTTTCCCTCTGAAAGTTTCAGAAAATTACTTTTAACGTTCGAATAGGATATCGGTTAGCTCTGAAGCTCTGGCCTTATGTAGAAACTGCTAGCACTACATTTGGGTGGAGACTGAGTGTTTCGTGATGCGTAGTTTATTTCTGCGGCAAAGCAAACACTATAATTATGTCATAAAGCGCACGCTGAACGTCATAACTAACTCGCGTGCCACGAAAAAAAAAAATTGGCTCGCCTAGATTGGCGGCGGCGACGTCGCCCAAGTCCACCCCGAGCTTTTTTGTTTTCGGAAACCCCACCCCTGCTGGTTTGATCTGGATGAGCATCGTAGCTGCGTGCGGTCGTGTATATCACTCCTACAAGTGAGCTTAGTTGCACCTTGACAGCGTTACCGGATAATCGTATTTTTGTTTTATTAATGGGCAATATTAATTTAGTATAGCTATAAAATAGGGACAAAATAGCCATCGTCTCTACTGCGGAATGCAGCATTTTTTAAGAAGTTTCCAAGCGTGCGCAGAAGTGGTCATCACTCGAAAGGCGCAGTCAGCAGACGACACACTGTGTCGTCTGCTCGCTCGGCCTATATTGAGATGGCGCCACAAGTAAGTCGCGTCGCTAGCCCGGTCGTCTGCGAACGCGGCCAACCATGACTTTGGCAAGTCTTTTTGCTTTCATTTCTTCCAGGAAAAGAACTACGCCTTGAACTTTCACGTGATAAAACTGACCTGTTCATTGCACCTAAGGTAAAAGTTTGAGCATTCTATGTACAGGCGCCAGTTTTTCCGGCTCGTTTTACATCGGAAGGTCCGCTTGTGACACCCTATTCGGAGCGCAAGTTCGTCTGCTGCTTGCGCGAGGTCTGTGGTGATGTCGGAGCGCCGAGCTCTGGTGGGCGCTGATTGGAAGGATACTGGGTAAACCTCAATGCTAGCTGCCTTGGGGTCTACCCACTATCCTTCCGATCGGAGCCAATCAGAGCTCGGCTTTCTGACGTCACCGCAAGCCCTGAGCAAGAAGCAGACAACTTGTGGTCCGCGTAGTCACTGACTGCTTAAGAAACGTAGTACGTGTCTCATTATGTTGCAGCTTCTCGCTTAGTGATTGGCCCTTCGACAATCTCACCGGCTAATACCACACTGTGATGGGTTTCGGAACGATCGTACCACGCTCCGCAGTCGAAATGGCCTGCAGTTTTTTCAGCTGTCAAATACTATAAAAGGTTATTTGCGCACTTATCGCAGCTCGTTCGAGAAACGCCAAAGAGGACTTTTACCAAATCTGCTGCTTCGGAAGACGTCGAGAAGAAATTACACCTTAAAGAAGTTAAGAGACCACTCTTATTTATTTAAGAATTTCTAATTTTTTTTTTATTGAAGGGCAATATTTATCCAGGGTAATTCGATGACCTGGACGAAAGAGCCGTCTCTACTGAGGAACGCAGCATTTCTTGAGAAGTGGGCAACCGCGGGTCAGTTGGGTTTGGCCAGCGCAAGTCTGGAACATCGGAATGCACTCCCCACCAAGTTCAGCGCAGGTCTTCATTAATTCTGAATAAAAATAAAGGGCAAAAAAAATATTGTTTTATTAACTCGCATTGCGTTGTATATCTGTTATCGAATAAAACGTAATACCCACTTTTTTATGAATAGTGCAGCTCTCTATTGACAGCCACAGCAGGAGTGACATACAATGTTAAAATACACATAAAACAGCGCAGGCAAACAAGCGAAGTCTAAAAGAATATATTAAAAAAAAAAAAAAAACATGCACGCGAAAGTGATTTAATTAAAAAATGTCGTTCATAGAGTCAGTAAATTTCTCTACTTAACAAAGTTTCGCTACTTCATTATCTATCGAATTCCAATGTTGTATTGCCCGAGGAAAAAAATTACTCTTTAGAAACATTATGTTTAAATTCGTACAGCTCCGGATAGTTTTGGTATGACTGAGTCTAAAAGATCTGGTGGAGGAGAACGTGATATAATTGATGTTAAATTTGTTCTGAAGAAAGAAAGAAAATAATTTTAATAGTCCTATATTTGGCCTAGCTTGTAAACTTTAAACGTTAACTCTTTTTTTTTGTAGAAAGTGCGACGTAGAAATATATTCTTTCCGAATGCGATGAGAATGAATCTGCAGCGTGCCTTCCAGACAATTATTGCGGGACAAAAGGAACTGAAGCCTGAGCTCATGTTTTTCGAAGCTAGGGATACGAGCTTCGTCCACGACACCGCGTAAAAGCCAGTAAATTATTCTTTTAATTTTAACATTTGGCCGTCCCCAACGACCACCCATTATTCGCTCCGCACAGATCCCGAAGCATGGCGTTCTACTGCACTGGCTAAATTTATCACCTTCAATTGAGAGATAAGTGGCCCATTGTGTCTGGCTAACTCCTTGATGTCTAAACGTACATACAACACAATTACTTTTCCCCGTACTCTCCCCACACATCTATTGGCTCGTTCACTTTAAAGCTGAAACGTGGTGGTGCATCTGTAGAAACAATCAGCTTAAACGCTTTTGATCATAAAAACTTTTATATTCCGCATGCATAGCTGTCAACACTAATGGTGGAGCAGCTGTCTCGACATGGTGTTTGCTGTACACATGCAAGCGAAACGGTATACACAAAGCCACGCGTTCGCGCCAGGGGCTTTGACAGCGTAGTACACTAGGTATAAAACGGAGTATAGACTGCAAGCAATGAAGTGTTTGCGTGACAAACCTTTATGATATTTTCGAGAAAGGTCGCCTATATAAGGTTGTTAGAATTGTCGCCCCCCCCCCCCCCCCCCTTCCCCGCTTTGGCGAAAGAGGGAGGCCTAACAGTTTGAAAAATGCACGCAGACCCGAATCGGGTAGGCATACACGATCGATGGCAACATTGAGTTTTTTAACCAACAAAATCGACGAATACTTTTTCAGTACATATCTTGAATGCAAAATACGGCTAGTGTCATGGCTGTGCCTACACTTGGGTGGTTTTTGTTCGCTATAGAATTGGAACGCGACGCCACTCAGGGGAAAAGTAGTGAATGAAAAGTACGGAGAGCTACCTCCACCTTCGCTTCTGTGACACTGCCAGGATATTGGCAAGCGAAGTCTGCGACTGTTGGGACGTCACAAGAAGAAAACTGATAGAAACAAGTTTAAACAGGGGGTAAAACACCAGTCAAAAACGCATTGCTGTCCACGTGGTCAAGCAGATTTTGTATTGGTTTTCTTCATCCAAATTATCACTAGTTATTGCTTCGAGGCAGAGCTACGCGTGCCACGCCACCAAATAAGGCAAACACTCTTCTGCTCGCGCACTGTGTTTAACAGTTGAACTCACTTTATACTTCAGTAAATAATATTGAGGGGCACCTAGCGGCTGGAAAAGAAAGCTGTGGTGGCAGGATCGCTCGCCAGCCTTCTCGAGCGAACCAGGCATATTTCGCGGCGCCTGGTGGTCAAAAGACGAAGCCGTGAAAATAGGTTCAAAAGCACACAATGAAAATCGCCTAAAAGAGGTAGAATTCAAATACACGCTGCAGACTCATACGTAACCCTGTGCATCTAACGCCCCTGGACTCGTCACCGTTCCTGCACCAAGGTCAGACGTAAACTATTGGGAGCAATGTGACTCCATCACCGTGACGTCAGCATCAAGGCTATGTCCTACCAAGGTGAGGACGCGGGAAATCCTAAAAGTTGACCCTATATATCTTACGTGTTTAAAAGAATAGGAATGTCATATTGTTGTATATCTATAGTCACTGATCATTTAAGAAACACAGAAAGTGACAAGTTCTGAGCATCTTATTGGCGCTCCACAGCCAATGCGATTGTGGCATTCTGCTATCAAAAAGCCAAAGAACTAATCGCAAAGCCATAAGCGGGAAATGATGTCGCCACGCCTTGCACATCTTAACTTGTAAGTGACTCTACGACTCCGTTCATAAACTGACCCCACGCCAAAGCAGGGCACGCCTCGTAGAGGCCAATGTGTAGCGCAAATTCGTCAGCTTCCCGCGCAGGCGTTGCAGTGACGTCAGAACACGGAGCTCTGATTGGATCTGATAGAAATAACAGTGAGTACACATCGAGGCAGCTAGCATTGAGGTCTACCCACTATCATTCCAATTAAAGTCCTGGGCGTCATTCTGACGTCACCACAGCACCTGCGCGAGAAGCAGAGGAACTTGCTCTTCGCATACCCTTGTTACATGGTCATCCTAACCTGCAGTTGAGTCACCCTTAAGTGCAGTCACGTTCAACCACAGTCAGTGTGCTCCCGGAGAGCCATTTCAGAAGTGAAGGGTGCGCGTCCACAGCTTTGATGGGCGCTCAAGATGCGCGAGCCAATGGACTTCTTCCAAAACCGACGCGCCCCATCGCGGCGAAATACCACGCAGTGCACTCTGGGAACTAGTTGGCCACTCAGTTTCGGTTTCGACTGAGCAGCCTCATCTCATGCTATCACGCCGCGACCGAACGCGCTGCTTGCGTTTTCGATTATCTGTCTTTTCACGAACGCACAATACACTCAGACTCGAGCGATGCAAAACGAAGACCGGGGCACTATCCTTGGTTCCCGAAACACCGGATATTGTGCGTGCGTATGCGAACGTAGTAAGTCGTGGCTTAGTCACCTCACCCCACGAGTGCATCTTTCAGCTCAATGTCAATAATCCCATCTAGTACCAGTGAACTACAACTGAAATTTGTTCGTCTGGAGCCTTACACGCATTTTGTTTGCCAAACGTCCGCTTCTCGTTCCTTCATTGGGCGAAAATCAAGCCGCATCTTCACAGGGTATCAAAATTGAGGCCAGCGTTTACGCATGAACTTTTAAGGAAACGCGATAAATTCGACCTCACTACTGCACAAAAGTTACTATGATGTCTTCCTCGTATCATCATATATCTCCCACTAGAAGTTTTTATGCTGATAGAAGATTAACTTTTCGCAAACGCTGAGATCGGCTAGCTACGACGGAGGCTCTAACAAGCGTCCCCTACTCCTCGCTAAGCCTTTTTGGACGAGCTTTTACTGACGCCCGAGATCTGTGCCGGGAACGGTGTGTCTGAAATTATCTCGGCATACTCAGACAGGAATAAAGCATACACATAACAAATATTATGGCCATTAGCAGCCGTCAAATGCGCTTTGAATTCGTTCGAGCACTTGTCTGAAGAATGTCGCACCGTGCGCCGGACGGGCATGCATGAACCCCAATGCGGTGCGCATAGGGGTTCATGCCCGTCTGACGCACTACCGGCGAACGGTGCGACATTCTTCACACTAGTGCTCGACTTTTGCATTCTTAAAACGGCCTGTATGCGCGAATTTGCCTATATGATTGCAGGATAACTTTATGCGCATACGCGATGTTGAATATTAGTTGAATGCAAGCGGGTGGAGACTTCAGTTCGTGCAGTGCTGCGGGTCAGTAAATAAGAGATAAGTGTGTTAAAATTGAGCTTTTCAATGGCACCTCCGAGTTTTACCTCGCATACTCAGGCACATTAAGAAAAACAGTAATTGCAAAAAGTAATATTTCGTCTATGGTCGCACGAAGCAAACTTCCTGATCAACAACACTAATGTAAAGGCGCGAGCTCGATGTATACATACTTATTTGGTTGCTACAGCTTGTTGATTCGTACACAAGCAAGATACCCGAGCACCCGAGCTTCGCAACGTCGAGACTACCAGCACTGGTTTGTCCACATACCTCGATTGGAACGCTAACAGGAAGGCTCAATTACAAAAATACAACAAGCATGTTTTAAGACAAGCTATACGTCTCGGGATTGTGCTAAAGCTTCGAGGTATGACCATTTAGGTTAGTTTAGAGACCACACATGACGCTCTCGGGACCAGAAAATAATCTCTTGTCGACGTGTCGATCGAAACCGAAACCATGCCACTCTCCTCCCTGGCCAACTAGTTCCCAGAGTGCAACGCGCGCCGTGTTGCATGCAGGGCTTTATGGAAGTAGTCTATTGGGTGCGCCCATAGCTTTGACTGCATGGCCACAGGAAGTCGTCCGAGAGCATAGCGTGGTAACTGTGGCTCAGCGAAACTGCAGTTAGAATGTGTTCCCGTGTAACTATAGGGCACAGCTCACCCTCGCAGCAAACCCCTGGTTCGCAGCCGGTGAAGTCCTGTCGGTTTGCTGACGGACAAAGCAAGCTTGGAAGACAGACATGGCCAGCTTCCGTGCAGTTCTGTGCGAGCGAAGACTCTGAAAGAAATAAAGCAGCGAATGTTTGTCAGCAAGTATATCTCATTCCGGGAAAGGGCTTGTTGTCTGTGCAGTGTTCGGCGTTCGTGAGTATGGCGCGTGTGCTTTGCTTGCTTTCTAAAGTGACGAACATGAGGGGGGCCTGCACATACGATTTCCAGGAGCTCTATATTTTCTTTCAATTTGTCAAATAGTCCCAAGTATGAGACCTCAGCTTCGCCATTCCATTCCTATAATTCAAACCACAGCCATTTAAAAAAAATGTTTAAGCTAATCATGTCTGCAATTGTCCATGTCGTTTCGCTCGGCCCAATTGCGCGTTTGAGTGACCGAGCTCGGCCAGTACAACCAAGTAGACAAGGCCCGCTCATGACGTCATCGTTAGTAGAACCCCGACCCATCCCAAGCGGCAAACACGCTAGAGCTTGACGAGCGTCACCGCAAAGCGGCAGACGCGTACAAGCGTCCCGCTTGATGTGAGACGCCACAAGAGGCGCTGGCGGCGCCGCTGACGCAAGCTAGGCGGCGCTCCGTGATTTCACTAGCCATGACGTTTAGGGGGAAAAGGTGTAGGCCTTGTCTTCTGCGGAGGGCAATTCGCCTGCTTCTTGCGCTGGAGTTGCGGTGACGTCATAACGACGCCGAGCTTTGATTGACTTTGATTGAAAAGATTGTGGGTCGACCTCAATGCTAGATGCCTTGAGGTCTACCCACTATTCTTTTTTTGCAATCAGTTAGTTAGAGCTCGACGTTCCGACATCGTCGCAATTCCTGTGCACGAAGCAGACGAACTTGCGTCTCCGCATCGGCTCGACGGGCGTCTGAAAAGGCGCAAAGGGTCTTTAATGCTACCACAGTACGTCTCCTTCGAAGGCAGCCAGAAAAAAGGCGTATTCTCTCGTGCCATAGGTATCGTGACACCGAATCGTACTCGGATCAACTCACCGACGAGCAGAAGCGTCGACGCGATCAGCAGCAGTACAGTTGACATGACGCAAAGTAAACTTGCCGATACCGGTCGATGCAAAGCAGATTAGAACAGATGTTCTCTCTTGGACGGGTATACACGCTGCTTTCTGTACAGCGCCTCCGCTCGCGGGCGCGAATAAATACCTGTAGTACATTGCACAATAAAAATAAAAACCTGCGCAGATCCGGCCACAAAATAGAAAAAAAAACCTATCCGCTCGACTCAGTGCCCCATCATCATTGAGCGAATTGTATTTTTTTTCTTTGTTTTTGCGCACACAAATCAGTAAAAAAGAAAGGCTGACATACTCCTCTCCTGGCATGACATCAAAAGAATGATGCGATTGTATTGAGTACAAAGATGATGGGGTTTTTTTCTTCTTACTTTCGGGATTAGGGGCGGAGCTTACCTGCCAGCCTACGACGACACACTGGCGTAGTGACTACCTCGTACAGTCATGACAAAAAAAAAACAGAAAAACTGCCACATGTGCAAGTTTCGCAGACTGTGCTCTTTCGCGGACATTTTCAGTGTTCTACGGACCGTTCCACCAATCGCCTGACGCGCGCGGCCATCATTGTCTTCTGGGCTGTGGGACGCATTTCGAGCATGGGCAGCAGGCTCTCTCTCTCTTCTGAGAATTATCTGACGCTGCACGCGCGTTCACAGACCGGTAACCCAGCATTTCTTTCGTCCGGGCGATAAGCGGTGGAAAAGTGTACAGAGAACCTTCTCTAGAGACGTTCGCAAGTGCGCCCTCTGGTCGCCGCCGTCTGGCTGCTGGTGTTTGTACACAGGGTGTCTCAAATAGCATCCAGGCTCTAAATCGACCGCAAAAATTGGTTTCTTAACCGCTATCGCGTTACGGTTTTGTGCAGCGTTGCCCACAGGCGGTGCATTTTTTTCCATAGAATTGGCAAAGAGCGGACTTACCTAAAGAACAAGTAAAAACAAAAAAAGAAAAAGGCTTAACACCTATGGAAACATAGCGAAGTCACCGCTCTTTAAACAATAGGGCGCCACATATAGTTTGAAGACCGGTATGTTTGCTGCGTTTCCATAGGTGGTGCGTTCGAAAAAAATGCACCACCTCTGGGCAACGCTGCGCAAAATCGTAGCGCGGTAGGTTAAGACACAGATTCTTGCGATCGATTTCAAAGAACCCGTCCGCTATTCGAGACACCCTGTAGATCGGTCAAGCACATCTCTGAGGCTTACCCACGGCTTCCAGACCGGCGCCCAAAACAAAGCTTTTTCCATCCACGCTGTGGCCGCGGACTAACTCTCGAAGCGCGGCTGCTTGCAAACGTCTACACACATTACCACAAAAAGTTGGCGTTGCAAACAATTATCGACGCAGCAGGAAACAAATATATATTAGAAGACCTAAAGCCGCCCTTGCGCCGCTAATTAATACATCGTTTTAAATACGGTGTGCAGACATCGTTTGAATCTCCTCGTGGGACGGTGCTGTCACATGTGTCACACACACAAGCAAAAATGTCCGCCGACATGTTCAAAGCATAGATGTGCATGAAGCAAAGATGTGCATGTTTGCAAATCAATTTTGTCATCGCGTCTGAAGAGAACGCCGTGTCATTCGGGCAGGGCGACTGCGGCCTAACCAAAGACACTGTCCGTAGTCCCGTTTTGGTCGTCTGATCTCCCGATCATTGAATACACCAGATTTACGAAGGAGCGTCCACTCTGCGGCAACGGTATGGTGACACAGGTGTCGTTTACGGCGATCCACGCCAGCCGTCACTTTAGGAGTCACGTTAGCTGTCGGGACTCTTTTACACGAAAGCGTAGGCCTTAATATGCGGAGCGAAAGTTCGTCTGCTTCTTTTGCAGGGGTTGTGGTGACGTCAGAAAGACCCCGAGCTCTGATTGGCTCTGAATGAAAGATAGAGGGTAGACCTCAAGGCAGCTTGCTTTGAGATCTGCCCACTCTGCTTCAGTCAGAGCCAATCAGAGCTCGGGGTCTTTCTGACGTCACCCCAACCCCTGCAAAAGAAGCAGACGAACTTTCGCTCCGCATACCGCCCATGCATCGGAAGTGGTCCCGAAATGTCGAAAAATAACGCCACAAAAGCCAAAGTTTGTGCTGTCGGATGTCGCGATCCTTGAAGTTGAGCGTAGAAATTTTGGAGAAAAAAAAAATGGAAAAAACCCAGGAGAGTAAGTGACTGTCGGCTGTCCTATATAGGGGCGTCCCAACTCCTGCAGCTGCCGAAACATCCGTAAAGTGTCAAGCTGGAAAGCGATCGATCTGCAGGAGAACGGTCGTCTGTCAGTTGTATCACCGCTGCTGTCACACCTCTGCAGGATTTCCGCCTTCTGACACTTCTGTGCCGTCAGAAGGCGGAAATCGAGGACTACTTTATTTGAAAGCGGTAACACATCGGTCCGAGACGCTTTCCAGGCACCATGCCACGCCCCTTTATACGCCAACACAGCGTTTCCAAACAAGCCCGCTTTGCCCACACCAGGTGTGGGCACTGCGCCTGCGCACAAACCGAATTCGGGAGGAGTGAAGCATCTGCGCATGCGCAGTACCGACAGCAGCACCACTGCTGTGTCCTGACGTCAGTGAGTTGAGTTTGTCTATAAACAAGTTTCTTTGAAGACAGCGAATGACGTTCATTCTCGGAAATGCCGAGAAATAACTGAAATTGTACAACCCGAAAACCAACGAACAAAATTGAGAAACCACAATGGTTTTGTCGCAATTTTTTGTTGTTTTGTAGAGTTCTTTTTTTTTTTTTTACTTCGGCGAAATAATATAGGTTTACCATTGTCTTCTATGTAAATTAAAAGCTTATCTGACGCGTGTGCACGCAGGTTTTGTCGCTTCTTCGCATTGGTCGACGAGGCATTCACACTCTCCCGATTTTTGCTTCTTTTCTGCGGTTCTGTGAAGCGGTGACTGTGAAAACTCTTGCAACATCGTACTCAGAGCTAATCAATATGCGTAAAAATAACAAATATGTAAAACGCTCGCAGTCCCATATGAATACGCCATTCGGCTAGGCAGTTTTCAATAAACTATTTTTATTGCTTTTTGTGCCTGTAGCTACGGGAAAAAATCAAACAGGTGCGGCAGCCAAACCAGATTCTTTCGCGAATGCAAATGTCTACGTCCAGTAAAATGGTTACACTTATTCGCCAGAGTTTGTTCAGGCGTGTTAAAGCACGTGTATAAATTTTTGTTACAGTGGCGGCAAGTACAGCGGCGGTGAATCACTGAAACAACCGGATGTCAAAACTCATGAGTACAGTTGCAGCAGCCGTCCCACAGAAAAAAAAAAAAAAAAAAAAAAGCAAAAGGAGGCGACGGAATTTTATTGCAGAGTTGACGAAGTGATTGCACGCTTGATCCTCGTAATTATTCTGCCTCGGCTCATTAAATTTTAATTTCAATATCTTGAAGAGGTTCTTACGAAACAATTATGCTAGATATATTATTTTTTATTTAAAAAGTATTACTTATCATTCACTTCCATATTATTATTCAATCGAGTGACAATAACTGTAAAATTAATATACTCTAATGTTCCCACTTTGCCTCTCGGGAAAAACAGGACTAAGGATAATTTTGGTCTACCATTTTAAGAGACCCACGTCTTTGACACTCAACTGAAAACAAAATGAAACCGCTTTAGAGGTAGAGCTCAGATGTTCAGTCGGGTAAGGCTCTTGGACAAAAATTCTAGTCGGGAGAAGCTTTTTTACGTGCTTTCGGGCAAAGTAAGAACGATGAACAGCATCGAAGCCTACAAGCACAACCTCCGTGCAGAGGACGCAACAGGACTGCATAAACTATCGTTTAGCAAAACGACTATAGTTTTCCTATTTTTTCACAGTTTAAAGCGGCCGAGCCAGGTTATTGAATAGAAAATATTTCTCAATTTATGCTAGCTTAGGGGCACTAGAGTGGGACCCAAGTATACTCGCAGGCAACGTCACTGACCAAGGAGGTTCTTTGTCGCCACGTAATATCAAGAATAAAATCTGACGATTCCTTTGGTGGGATCGCGTTGTTGGCGTTGTTAACAATGCGATCCCCAAGATTTCGTCATTAAGCTTTGTGATCCCCGAGGTAGCAATATTAGAGAGTTTTAGTAGATCGTTCCGATACCCCCGATAGCCCCGATAACGATACTATGCATGCGCAAGGGAGGCGGTGGCGGAGTATCGGGTATCGTTATCGGAGTCATGGGAACGATCTACTAAAACTCTCTATTTAAAGGCGGCTCATACCGAGGACACGAGAACTGCGTGAGCATTCCATCTGGGCTCGTGACAATCAATGCCTCGCCATGCAGTGGGACTCGTGCGCAATCGCTGCGATGTCGGGAATGGCCGAACCTTAAAGGGCTTGTCCGGTAAAATTGTCTTTCAGAAAACAATTAAGTTATATTGTCGTTTCATTTAGGAAGATCACCCGCGCAATATTCGAATTTTAATCCTCCACCGGACAAGCAATTCAATTTTAAACAGAACCCAACTCCTCAGATTGTAGTTGTAAAACACACCGCATTTTCGTTGGCAACAGCGGATGCTCGGACGTAACATCAGGCAAAGAGAGCAACGTCAGCTTTTGACTGCTGTCTCTGTAAAATAACTTCGTTCTTAGAAAGACGAGATCTACGCTATTGAGGGAAGCTGAATTCTTCAACGATGATCCTTGTGCACACCATCAACCATGTTGATGAAAACCGGGAATAAGTCAACGCCCGCGAATCTGACGTTAACATGCCTGATGGGACGTCACGGCACGACCAGCCACGCATACTCGCGAAATTTGGCTTGTAGTTTTGTATTGATGTTCATAATTTATATAACGAATATTGGGATGTCTTTTAATAAAATAAATATCACATATCACCGTATTTAGGCCCTCTCTACGCGACGACCACAATGATTTAGCAACTTCCGGATATCACCGGACAATCGTTTTAATTAACGGTCGTCGCCGTACATGTACAGTGGTGGTTACACCTTTGAAAGTGGCCGCTTAAACGTAAAACTGCGCACACTGCGGGAGGTGTTGCTGTTTGTTATGTTCTTGGTGAACTGTAAACGTTATATTCGCACGTTGTTTAGCATTGCTCTGGGC